AAGTCCACCCAGATAGACTGTCCCATCTACTTCGTTTCCACATCAAAGTCAAGGCGATCAATCACTCCCAGCTCCCAAGAGACCCGTGGACCCTGTCTTTACTCCAAACAATGAGAAAGAGAGGGCCTAGATGGCGGCTGCCCTGTCTGAGGGCAAATGCTCCCTCCAGAAACACTGAGACGGTCATAGCGAGCTTTCCTAGGCCTAACCTTAAAAAAAAATCATGGGCTGGGCACGGTGGCTCATGCCTGTAATCCCAGCACTTTGGGAGGCCGAGGCGGGCGGATCACAAGGTCAGGAGATCGAGACCATTCTGGCTAACACGGTGAAACCCCGTCTCTACTAAAAAATACGCCTAGCCAGGCGAGGTAGCGGGCGCCGGTAGTCCTAGCTACTCGGGAGGCTGAGGCAGGAGAATGGCGTGAACCCGGGAGGCGGAGCTTGCAGTGAGCCGAGATCGCGCCACTGCACCCTAGCCCTGGCGACAGAGCAAGACTCCGTCTCAAAAAAAAAAAAAAAAGAAAAAAATCATATGGAACCTCAACAGCCTGGAGGAAGAGGAGGGGCAACTGCCCTAACCTACTCCCTGGGGCACCCCACTGGAAACATCAGGGCTGGGGAACATCTTCCTGAGTGGGGAAGGTGTGCATCAAAGGAGCTTAAACATGACATTTAAAACTTCTGACACATCCCCCTCAGAGAGAGACGGGGAGCTGGCTTCAGTGGACCAAGGAAGGCTGAGGATGGAGGGGGGCACCCAGGACAATGTCAAAGCTGGGGGCCCCACTGCTTTGCTCCTTGGCTGCAGCTGTCTCTCCACTCCACCCTGAGAAGGCTCAGGCTGGGATCTGAGCTGAGGGCCATAGAACTGAGGAGCTCACAGTCACAACTCTCCCCCCAGCCTCATGCTGACCCCATGGCTTGAACGATGTTAAGAATCTGGCTGGGCAAATTATTCTAGGGAGCAGTTTCAGAAAAGCTGGTTTTGCTGGTTGGATAAAACCAAAGGCCGAGCAATTGGACTGTCCGCTGTGTAACAAGGGGCTGCAAGTGGTTGCAAGCGGGAGGATGACCCGGTTACATGGGTTTCAGATAGATCCCCTGGCTGCCATACAGAGGATGGATTGGAGGGGGACACTGGGGCCAGGAGCCTCAGAGGTAACCAGCCCGGGAAGGACCTGTGTGAGGAGGCCCAGGTTGAGGCTGTGAGGAGAGGAAGAGCCCCCCAAGGGCCTTCTCTTGGATTCTAGCTCCCCTCTATCACCTGTTCCCTGAGGGCCCTGGCCTCTGCCACTGCTCAAAGATCATCCAAACATTGTCTACTCCTGACAAACTAGGAGCCTGAGGAACAGGACATGGGACAAGCCAGTGACTGGCTAGCTTCCAGCTTGTCTACCTGGCTCCTGAGCCAGAACCAGGGCCTCTGGGACCCAGGTGGGCACGGTATTGGGAGACAGTTCCCAAGAGAGAGAGAAATGGAGGCAGCAGCAATTTTCCAAATACTGTTTACTTCACTAAAACCTGAAGCGAGGCAGGGAAAGGGTACATCAGTATCTGAGACACCAAGCCTAGGAGTGCACATTGACAACGGCGACGTACAGGGCCAAGGTGCTGAGGGCCAGCAGCCCCGTTACCACTGCTCGGGCCAGTAGGGCTGTCCAGCTGCCCAGTGAGCAGAGGTGGACGAAGGTCCTGCAGGAAAATGTCACCATGAGGGAGGGAGACTAGATAACCCACCCCACTTTGGACCCAGCCCTAAACCCCACCCAGCTCACTCCATCACGAAGGCCTTGTAGACACTGAGGAACATCAGTAGGAGGACAGCCGGCCGGAAGGTGTGGTACAGATCATAGCGTGTTATCATCCAGACCTGAGCAGATGCGACGATGTAATGGACCTGGAGGGAGGCGGAAAGTCGGGGCCAGGCCTCGATAGGAGTATGGCCGCCAGCAGAAATGTGTGTGTGGGAGAGCAGGACTGCCTACCAGACTGATGTTGGAGTCTATGCTCATCTGGATGTACTTCCAGTCAAACTCAATGCCCCGGGCTCCGACCCATAGGGGAATGCAGCTGAGGAAGGCAAAGGATGGGATTCTCCAGTACCCAGACACCTTCAGTACCAGGCTGTGAGCCCCTGCCCTCCAGCACCCCCGTGGAACCCAGGTGTCCCTTCTCAGGTGTCTGGGTTCCAGGCTGCTGCACGCACCGGGACATAATAAGCTCGGCGGTGGCCCAGCCCAGGGCAGCAACCATGATCTTGTACTCCCCCTTGCCGGCATTCCGGGACATGACAAGGTTTAGACCTATCAGGTCTGCCACATCCACGCTGGCCTTCATGAACTCCTGCGGGTCAGGTTGAGGCTTAAGTAAGCACAGGGGACAGGGAGCCCCACTCCTGCACGCCCTGCCCTTCCCTGGCCCCTCTCACCCCAATGAAGTCATAGATGCCGCCTTCCCAGGTGGGAAAGAAAGTGGCCAAGAACAGCATCTGAGAAGAGAAAGCAGAAAGAGGTCACTTCAAGGTGAGGGGATCAAGATAAACCACGTGGGATTTGTGGGAAGTTCGTGGGTATGAGGAGGGCAGGACAGGTTCTGGGGACCCATCTGGAAGAGGAACCACCAGATGGTGGCAAGATTACAGGAATGGGGGAGATAGAGGATAGGTCCCCGGGTCCCCGAGGGGGCTGGAAGTTGGAGTTCTGGGTGATCATAGGGCATCTGAGTCAGGTTTGAAGGTGCTGCTCCTTGGGCAGTGTTAACAGCATGTAGGGAATCCGTGATCACTCTTAATCGCACCAAAAAAAAACACCTCTTATCCAACCACACTACTGACGTTTTCTCAGTTTTACTAAGTGCGACGCAAAAGTTGCTTTTAGGCCTCTTCTCAGGTCGTGCCCTCTTTAAAGTCTATCCTTTCTAGGTATCCTGACGCCTCCCTACGCTGAGTCCCGAGGGCGGTCCCACCGTGGCGGGGGATACGCAACGGGGGCGGATCCCTGGGTCTGCAGAGCCTGGGGGCCAGAACACGTGGATTCCGGCGGCTCTTACCTTGCAGAGTTGGACAAAGAGGTAGGTGACTCCAGCCTGGACGCATTTCCAGAAGGCGTTGTACTCGGACCTGGAGAAGCGGGAGGTGAGGCTCGGCCCGGGCCCCGCGCCCTCTCCGCCCCGCGCCCTTCCCGCACTCACAGGCCGCTGCACTTGTAGGTGATGAAGTAGGGGAAGTAGGCGAGAGCGAAGCAGTTCCCGAAGTGAAACAAGGTCATGACGCCGGCCGCCCGGTCCCGCCCGCGCGGGGATCGCGAGGCGGCGTCTCCCGCAGCGGGTCTCCGGCTCCACCGGTACTTTCGCCAAGGCCAGGGCCTGGCGCCCACCTGACTGGCGGGGGCCCGCGCGCGACCTTCTGGGATCGGTAGTCTCGGCGCGGGGCGTCGCGCCCAGTGACGTCAGAGCGCCCGTGGCCGGGCCCGGTTGCCAGCGCTCCCGGCCCAGCGCTGTGGGGAGTGACTTCCGGCCATGCGGGACCTCTCCCGCTGCCATCGCTGTCCCCGTCTCCCGAAGTGGAACCCGGCTTGACGTCAAGCGCGACCCCTCGCCCGTGGGCGCAGGCGATCGAGTAAGGGTGGGGCGGGCCTCAAACCCGTATCAGAACCCACCGTGACCGGCGCAGAAATACGGGACGCAGCTGTGAGCACTGTTTTTTATTTCACCATGGACCCAGCGGCGTGGGGCGTCCGCCCCAGGTGCCCTTCCTCCCCCGGGCAGCCAGATGCAGGAACGGGAGGCACATGTACCGGCCCTGGCCCCTGGGAAGGAAAGAAGGGACCTTTCCGTTTCACTTGTCTCGGCTGAACATGTAGCGGAGGAGGTCGACCACCCGGTGACTGTAGCCATATTCGTTGTCGTACCTGTGGAGGAGGGATTGGCAGGCTCAAGGGGGTTCCTTCCGACCACCCCTTAGTTCCCTTGCAAGTCTCCAGCTCCTTTCCCCTTACCATGAAATGAGCTTCACGAAATTGTCATTGAGTGCAATGCCGGCCTTAGCATCGAAGATGGACGAGTGGCTATCACCGACAAAGTCCGTAGAGACGACCTGGGCGTCAGAATTTCAAAGATAAGTGTGTCCGGCAGAGCAAGGACCTCCGGGAGCTGACAGTGCTCTTAGCTCTATCGCCCATCCATGCATTCATCTATTTTTGATGTAGCCCTACTGTGTTCAGTCTCTGGGGACAGGGACCAAGGCACTCTACTGGGGTCTGACCAAAGGGCACAGGTCACAAACACCCTCATGCTGTACCAGTACATCCCTTTCCTAGGAATAATGCAAGCATTTGAAATGGGCCAGTATGGAGGGCCTCTCTGAGGGGTGGCCATGAGCCTGGGTCTAGATGACTAGGAAGATCTCACTGGCTCTGGCCCTCAACACAGTGTCTGAGGTGGAAGGAGCTGCAGGAACGGAGAACCTGAGGGTTTTAGCCCTAGTGTCAGGAAAGGCCACAGGAGTGTTTTTACTCCTGAAAACGGGTGATGCAGTGTGAGTCCATTAAAACAAAAGATCCTGGCGACTGTGGGAAAGTGGACCTGCAGGAGTTAATGCAGGGAGACAGCACCAAGGTAGACGTACGGGGTCCACCATGACCATGGCATCCACTCCTCACAGAGAAGGCACCTGGCCATGGTCTGGCCCTGAACAAGTATTGAAAAAAATGAGGGCCGGGCGCGGTGGCTCAAGCCTGTAATCCCAGCACTTTGGGAGGCCGAGACGGGTGGATCACGAGGTCAGGAGATCGAGACCATCCTGGCTAACCCCGTGAAACCCTGTCTCTACTAAAAAATAACAAAAAACTAGCCGGGCGATGTGGCGGACGCCTGTAGTCCCAGCTACTCGGGAGGCTGAGGCAGGAGAATGGCGTGAACCCGGGAGGCGGAGCTTGCAGTGAGCTGAGATCCAGCCACTGCACTCCAGCCTGGGCGACAGAGCAAGACTCTGTCTCAAAAAAAAAAAAAAAAAAAAAAAAGAAAAAAAGAAAAAAATGAGAACTGTTGTCTTTTGTTCACTAAGCATGTATTGGTCACCTGCTGTCTGCCAGGTTGGAGCCAGAAAAGTGAAAACGCAGCCCCTAAATCCCTGTTTTCTTGGAATGCACACACCATTGGGGTCAACAGTGACTGACAAGAAATTTCAGGTGAGGAATAGGGCCACAGAAAGAACATCTTTTGAGGGGGTGCCTTGCTGAAGAGGGAGGTTGAAGTAGAGACTTGGAGGAAGTAAGGACAGACTGTGTGGTCATCTGGGGGGGCAAGCATTCCAGACCAAAGGAACAGCAAGTGCAAAGGCCCTGAGGCAGGGAGATCTCCCTTCCCGCCCTGCAGTTTCTGTCTTGACACATTGAGAGCAGCTCCCTGGCAAGTGGAAATCATGTCCCTCCCCAGAGGGCTCCTCCCAGGGTCTCCTCTCCTCAGCCCCTACCTCATCCTCGGTGTAGGCAAGGATGCCAGCCATGGGCCCCTTGGCTGCTGCTTTTATAGCCTCCTTGATGGCTGAGTAGGGGGCAGGCTGGGCGAGACGGCAGGTCAGGTCCACAACAGACACATCCGGGGTTGGTACCCGGAATGCCATCCCTGTCAGCTTCCTGGAGAATCCCCCATGAAGAACAGGAGTCAGAACTTAGGGACGTTGCCCTCCAATCCCCCTTGCCCTGTGGCCGGGCCAGGCTCCTGCTTTCCTCTTAAGGACTGAGGGCCAGTCCAGTCCTCCCGGGGTATGCCCCCACCCTGGTTGCAGCTTCTTGTCCTCATACCCTTTGAGCTCTGGGATGACTTTGGTCACGGCTTTCGCAGCCCCCGTGGAGGCTGGGATGATGTTCTGGTGGGCACCCCGCCCATCTCTCCAGGCCTTCTTTGATGGCCCATCCACTGTCTTCTGGGTGGCCGTGTAGGAATGGACTGTGGTCTTGGGGAAGAGAAGGACCAAGATGAGGCCTTCATGGTCCTAAGCTCCCATGCCTCTTTTTTTCCAGGACTAGGGTAGTGGCCTAGGTGTGGAGGCTGGTGGGGCCACCACCACAGACCACAGGTGGGGACGTGTGCAGGCCAGGGTCCAGCCTTGACTGAGGGTTGTACAGCGTTTTAAAAGACTTCCGCACCGGTGGGCCTCTCCTCCCGAAACCAATCTCTCCCTCTTAACTCCATATAGTAAGCAAGGCCTGGGAAGAAAAGGTTGGGGTTTCCCTGCCATCCTGCCCCAGCCCCTCATCCTCAACTCACCATCAACCCTTCCACGATCCCAAATCGCTCGTGGATGACCTTGGCAAGGGGGGCCAAGCAGTTGGTGGTGCAGGACGCGTTGCTGCAACAGCCAAGGTGTGCACGGGCACTGTGAGGTGAGTTGCAGAGCCACCCCTCCACCCTTACCCCTCTTGGGGTATGCACGCAGACTTGGTTTTGTGAAACGTCAGGATGAGGGTGAGAGGGATCTGTGCAGACGCCGTCAGACTGAAGGAGGCACCGAGATGCAGCTGGGGAGGCTCCCCAAGCTTGTCCTCCTGAAGTCATGCGTGTTTAGCAGATAGTTTCGGGAAGGAGAAGTAGAAGCCGAGTGACCAGGAATCCAGTGGAGCTGAGAGTGGGGAGGACGAGTCTACCCTCCCTTCCACGCATTGCAGGATGTCGCTGCCCCCCTTACCTCACAATGTTCATGGAGCCAGGGTTATAGTCGTTTTCATTCACACCCATGACGAACGTTGGTGCATCCGGCGAGGGCGCGGAGATGACCACACGTTGAGCACCTGCTGAGATGTGGTTCTGGGGAGGAAGCGCGGGTGTCAGGTGCTTCTGGTGCCATCATCCCCCCAGCTGGCCCTGGACACCTCTCCCCGGCTTACCGAAGCTGCCTCTATGGAGAGGTACACGCCTGTGGACTCCACCACGTAGGGGCTCCCGACATCCCTCCAGGGGATCTGTTTGGGCTCCTTGCTGTGGGGTAGTGGCAGGGCTGAGTCAGTCTCCCCTGCCTGAGCCCCACCTTCATAGTCCACGGCCTTCACCATTTGAAAGGTTGAGCAGATGCCGGCCACCTGCAACTACCTGCGTCCCCCACCGACATACCTACTTGCTCCAGATGAGCTCCACCCCGCTGGCCTGGCTTTTCACCACTGCCCCACTTCGGACCAGCTTCCCTTTGTTGATTGCACCACCTCTCCTATGCCTGGGTACAGGCAGTGACCTCCCCAACTCAGCCCTCAACCTCCTCAGAGGCGCCAACCCTGACTGCTGTCAGCCAGCTCAGACCCTTTCTCCGTATGCTGCCCGGGATGTGGACTCTGTGACTGTGAGGCCTGCCCGGCTGCTTTCTGGTCCCCAACCCCGACAACCTCGCCACGAACCCTCCTAGACCCTCAGTTCCTGCAATAGGAAGCTGGCTGCCAAGGGCCAGGAGAGTCCCTGAAAACAGACACTGCATTAAACAGAAAGCTCCTGGAGGACGCCTGAAGCCTGAGGCAGCCTTGGGGCAGCAGTGGCTCGTGGTTTACATTAGAAAGGTAAGTGGGGGGAGGTTTCTGGTTTCCTGTTTTATAAATTTATGTTTTTACTTGGTATTTTGACAAACGTATTTGAAACACATTAAACATCTAGTATTGCCGTTACCTACTTGGCTTTAGCAAACAAGCATTAAGTGAATAAACTGTATTCCACTTTCTTCCTTCCTAGGTTTATCGCGAGTAACCGAGTGCTTTCCTTCTGTGATTCTCGGTCATGTCGGTCTGTTTCTTTTGCCCTTGAGCCTGCTTCCCTCAATGGGGGGTTCAATCAATGTTTGTGGGGTTTGTTTGTTTGTTTTGAGACAGGGTCTTCTTCTGTCGCCCAGGCTGGAGTGCAGTGGTGCAATCAGAGCTCACTGCTGCCTTGATCTTCCTGGCTCAAGCCATCCTCCTGCCTTGGCCTCCCGAGCAGCTTGGGACTACAGGTGCACACCACCATGCCCAGCTAAATTTTAATTTTTTTTGTAGAGATGGGCTCTCACTTTTGTTTCCCAGGGTACTTTAGAACCCCTGGGCTCAAGTGATCCTTGGCCTCCCACAGTGCTGGGATTACAAGTGTAAGCCACCGTGCCTGGCCTCATGGGTTTTCTTTATTTGTTTGTTTTGTTTTGTTTCGTTTTGTTTTTGAGACAGAGTCTCACTCTGTCACCCAGGCTGGAGTGCAGTGGCACGATCTTGGCTCACTACAACCTCCACCTTCCAGGTTCAAGCAATTCTCCTGCCTCCGCCTCCTGAGTAGCTGGGGTTACAGGCACCCGCCACCACACCTGGCTAGTTTTTTGTTGTTTTTTGTATTTTTAATGGTCACGGGTTTTGCTGTGTTTGCCAGGCTGGTCTCAAACTCCTGACCTGAAGTGATCCGCCCACCTCAGCCTCCCAAAATGCTGGGATGACAGGCATGAGCCGCTGCACCTGGCCTCATGTTTTTTTTTTTTTAAGTCAGCCATTTTATACATGTTTACTGAACACCTGTCCTGTGCCCATATTCTAAGTGCCTTACCTGTATTAAACTCACGTAACCTTCACAACCCAATGAGGAAGTGCTACCACTGTCATTTTTTGCATTTTTTTACCGCTGTCGGGGCGGAGGGGAGGGGAGTGAGAGGGAGAGCCTGCTGGAGTGCAGGTGGCTGGCCCCAGCTCGGGTCTGCACTCCTGTTTCCACTGCCTGAATGAATGGATGAATCGGCCGCCAGGCAAGGCCCCAGGCAAGGCCATAGTACATGGTTATCCTCTTCCTGTCTCCTGCTCTGTCAGTCCGCCTTCCATCATCTGGCCCAAGTAGCTCTTCTCAGCTACCCCCCTTTCCTGCCCTCCAAATTAGGGACACTTCTGATTCCTCTGCAGCAATTGCTGACTTGGCCTGAGGCAAGGAATGTGCCCCAGAAGACCCCAGGCCCTCCCCAAGGCTGCCATGGGCCCCAGCCTCCTGCCCACCGGCTGTTTTGAGGATTCTATTTGTTTATTCAAAGGAAGTTCTTAATGTCTACCAGGTCCTGTACCTGCTAATGCCAGAGCAACTGTGGTGGCACCAGTTGACAGAGCCCTCCCTGCAAGGCCATGGCCTTGTGGGAAGTGCCTGTTTAAGTGTCCACAAACACGTGTTCACTCCACTCGTGCTCCCAGCTACTGCTGTGGTGGGTTCCCCATCACATCGGGGAACTGAGGCTCAGGCGAGTTTGGTCCCTTGCCCAAGGTCACCCAGCCAGCTAGCGGCAGCGCAGGGCAGAGTGCAGGCACACAGCTTGGCTTATGCAGCCCAATAGTGCAGGGGTGGAGAGGGGGCTGGAGGGGCGGGGAACCGCGTTGCATTGCGCGAGTGACCAGAGAAGGCAACACCCGGGTTGGGGCCATGGATGGAGGGGGCAGCTAGGTGGGGAAGGGGGATGACTCCAAGTGGCAGGAATGGTGGTGGCCACGTTGAAGTCTGCGTGATAACTACGGTGTTGGAGTTGTTTCTGCTGTCTTGATTTCAAACTTGGATTAAGCAGCTTTCTTCCGTTTTCACTGACTCTCCAGTCTCTGCCCCCCACCCACAAACTTCCTGCACCCATCCCTGCTCGTTTATCACTCACCCTACCCCCAGTAACTACAAGGAGAAGGGCTGAGATTAGATCTGTGGGGAGGGGCGCTGGGGAGGCTGCAGACCCTGCCTGGGCCCGGACAGGGTTCACTAGTGTGCCTGTGTGTATGTGCATGTGTGCGTGCCTGTGGGTGTGTGTGTGTAAAAGCCCCAGGCAGCCACAGAGCCAGGTGTGGCTAATAGTTTACATTAGAAAGGTGAATGTCAGCCAAAAATAAAATTCTAAGCTCCCCCAACTAACCGAATGCAGCCCTTCTCTCGGCCCAGGGCATTCTAGAGTAAACCTGAAACACTGGTTCAGGCCATGATGGGAATGGATGTTCGGATGTTCGCACAAGCCTCATTATACCTTCCTCCCTTTAGAATTCAGGCACAGTTGACCAACAGTGGTCAGTGGGAGCTGAATAGGTGTGGGGTTGAAGGAGAATCAAGAGTTGAGTTCTGGACATATTGATATGCCCACGAGAAAACATACCAATGTGTGTTAAAGCAAAATGTGATGGCTCGTGCCTGTAATCCCAGCACTCTGGGAGGCCAAGGTGGGAGGATTGCTTGGGGCCAGGAGTTTGAGACTAGCCTGGGCCAAATGGCAAGACCTCGTCTCTACAGAAAATTTGCCAGGTATGGTGGCTTGTGTCAGCTACTCAGGAGGCCGAGGTGGGAAGATCACTTGAGCCCGGGAGGTCAAGGCTGCAGTGAGCTATGATTACACCACTGCATTCCATACTGGGCAAGAGAGTGATACCTCGTCCCTAAAAAAAATAAAAAGCATTCTTGAGTACAGTGAAACATCTTTTTAGATTAGTGCTTCTTAACCATTTTAGGGGTGAAGGACCTATCTGAGACTTCCCCTCTTCAAATTAGTACCTAGAGGCATGCACATGCAATTTTGGGGGTGGTTTCAGAGCCCCATGTGAGAGGCTGGAATCCCATTTTAGCCACCTCCACCTCCCCTGTCTCACTATGTCACAGCCGTGCATCAGACAGATGCTCTCCTTACCACTGGTAGACAGAGATCTCATGGTTGTCCACGACCAGCTGTCCATTCCTGAATTCCACACTTCCCTTGTATCGGCCGTGGGTGGAGTCATACTTAAACATGTACACCTGTGGGCGATGGAATGGCTCCCAGTCTTGGGGTGGCAGGGCGAGGATCCCTAGAGAGTCCCCTCTTTGGTGAAGGCCTCACATTGCAGCTGAGAGCCTTCCATACGACTTCCCTGAGCCCCCTTCCCACCCTAGTCCCACCCTGCTGCTCCTGCCCCCTGCCAGCTACTGACCATGTATTCCGGGTCAATGAATGGATCATTCACAGCCACCACCTTAACACCCTTCTCCATGCAGGCGCGCAGGACCAGGCGACCGATGCGTCCAAATCTGGCCGAGGACAGACAGAGGAAGGGATGGGAGAGGGGGTAATGGAGAGGAGGCTGGTCGGGAATCCTTAATCCAGGGGAAGAAGGCAACCACCTCTGTGCCAGCCATGGTCATCTCTTGCTAAGATGACCTCACTAGCCCCTTCACTGCTTTTTCAGCTCCCTCTCCCAATCCGTTCCCTAACCCCTATTTTTTTTTTTTTTTGCGGGGGGGACGGAGTTTAGCTCTTTTGCCCAGGCTGGAGTGCAGTGGTGCTATCTGGGCTTATTGCAACCTCTGCCTCCTGGGTTCAAGTGATTCTCCTACCTCAGCCTCCCAAATAGCTGGGACTACAGGCACGTACCACCACACCTGGCTAATTTTTATATTTTTTGTAGAGACGGGATTTCGCCATGTTGGCCAGGCTGGTCTCGAACTCCTGACCTAAAGTTGATAGACCCGCCTTAGCCTCCCAAAGTGCTGGGATTACAGGCCTGAGCTACCGTGCCTGGCTCCTAACCCCTATTCTTAACCTTGTAGCTGGATAGATCTTTTATTTTTTCATTAAACAATTAAAAATATTTTTTTTGTAGAAACAGGGTCTCGCTATGTTGCCCACGCTGGCCTCAAACACCTGGTCTCAAACTCCTGGTCTCAAAGGATTCTCCCAAAGTGCTGGGTTTACAGGTGTGAGCCTGGATGGATCTTTTAAAGCTTCAAGACAGATTACGTCTCTTGGCATGAAAACATCCACGACTGTCCATTAGTAAAACAAGATCCACATTCCTCACCGTGGTGTAGCAGCCCCCCGCTGGGCTTCCCACCGGCCTCCCTCTTTTTCCCTTTGCTTGGTGGACACCAGCCACTGTGACTTCCTGGCTGCCCCTGAACACACGGAACTTGCCTATGCCCCAGAATCATTGCTTGTCCCGCTGCCTGGAAGACTCCTTCCCCAGCAAGGTGTCCTGAGAGCTGGCTGCGCCTCATCACTGTGATCCAACTCCAATGACACCTTCTCCCTGAGGCCTTCCCTGATCACTGGCAAAGGCTGCCCTCTCCAGCCTTACTTTTCCACTGGGTTCTACGCCATTCCCAGCACACTCTACTGAACAATGTCGTTTCTTTATTTGATTACTGTCTTCCCCACCAGAATGTGGGCTGGGCATGGGGCCCTGTCTGCCTTACTCTAGGCTATTTCTCCAGGGTCGTTGGAATGAAAGCATTGATGGGGGGCAATGTGGAGGTGCCCCCAGTTAGCAGCCAGAGGAAGGGCTGGGCTCTAAGGCTTCAGACTGATCAGGGGCTGGAGTAGACTCACCCATTGATGCCCACAGTCAGCTCCCGGGGCGCAGGCCCTATCTTAGGAGGAGGAGTAGCAGGGCGAGGAGGTGGTGATGGTGGCGGCGGCGGCTTTATTTCCTCCCTGACTGGTGTGGGCTCTGGTTGTGGCTGGGGCTCTATTTCAACCTTGGGCTCAGGTGGAGGCGGTGGTCTGGTCACTATGCGGGGAAAGGGAGGGAAAATGGGTTGCGCGACCACCAAAGTGAAAGAGAACAAACTGTCTTTGCTGCCCAGAATCTGTTGCTGATTCCTGGCCCCTAGTGACCAACTATTTAGCCCAGTGTTTCCCAAACCCACTTTCTGTACAGAATAAACTTGTTTAAAATATCAATCCCAAGGGCTCTTTCCTGAGATTCTAATTCACTGGGTATGTACTTTCGTTTTCTTTTTTTTTTT